AACCAAACTCATTTCCTCAGACTTCATGCAGCAATGTACATTTCTTTACTCCATAACACAAACCATCGCCTCAGACTTCATGCAGCGATGCCCGAGAACCAAGTCCAGCTTATCGTCTCAGACTTCACGCAGCGATTCACAAACCTAACCAATTGCCTCAGACTTCATGCAGCGATGTATTTCTTCATTCCATAAAATCCAGCCTATTGCCTCAGACTTCATGCAGCAATGTTCAAAACAATAAATCTAGCTTATCACATCAGACTTCACACAGTGATTCGTGAGACAAGCCCATTGCCTCAGACTTCATGTAGCAATGTGTTCCAAACTACAGACCATCGCCTCAGACATCATGTAGCGATGTTCGAAACCAAATCCAACCCATCGCCTCAGACTTCACGTAGCGATGCTCGAAAGAAAACAAAACTCTAGCCCATCGCCTCAGACGTCATGCAGCGATTCGCGAACATAACCCATGACATCAGTCTTCAAGTAGCCATGCATTATCAAATAATGTTTTATTCATCCCTCGAAATGGATGAATAAGCTAAAGTAAACCAAGGTACAAAACTACGCTCTTAAAGTTCAAAATCATCTGCCTCAAACCCTGGTGAGCGATATATCATCAGCTTCGCCTATTTCCTCAAGACTCATAAGGGTATGCTATATCAGCATAACCTTATGATTGGTCGGACAAATTTTTGGTATTCCAAGTATTCAATAAAGTCCCAATCAGAATGCGCCAGACTTACGTTTTCTCGCACAATTCGATTGGAAGATGATTGAATAGGGGCAACTGTCATACCCCAAATTTGTCCGCCTTAGTGCTACCTCCAAATTTATTTTCGAACTTGGATTTTACATGGTGAAATATTCCTTTGGTTTAATTACATTAATATTTTGGGGCTTTTAATAAATATTCTCTTTCAAGTCTGTTTAAAAATATAATAATTATTTGTATTTTAAAAAAAATAACAAATAATTGTTCACCTTCATATATTTTCAATTGACTTTTATTTCAATTAAGTAACATAGCACAGTTGATAAGGGAGAAAGACTGACAAGTAGAAGGTCACGGGTTTGAATCTCACTTGGTGCACTTTGGATATTTTTGCTGTTTATTGTTACTAAATTTATTTTTCATTTTTCTAACCACAAAAATCATATTTTTTTATTATTAAATTATTATTTATTTATTTATTTATTTATTTATTTATTATATTTTAAAAATATTATATTTTATTAAAATATTAATTTTATTTAAAAAATAGTCAAAATACTTCATAAATAAATAAAATATTTCCAGATCAATTTTGCTCTATATCAAATTTTACACCTGGACACAAATATGTCCATATTTTTAATCTTACTGGCCAAGATGAGAATTTGGGCTTTGGGTGTTGTATACTTCCTTTTTTGGATTTTGACCTAATTTTTCCACTTATAAATATCCCTCAAAACTTATCAAGAATTCATTCGGAAATATCCAGAATTTCTCACTACAACTTTTCACAAACACTTTCTTTTCAAATTTTCTTCTCAATATTATTGGTGTTTGTTTTACTATTTGTTTGCCGATGATTTCATATGAGGCCTCTTGATTATTTTTTAATTGTTGTTGTTGTTTTATTTAACCATATAATGATATTTTCTCATGGTTTTCTTTCTTTGTAAAAAACAAACTAATATATATGCAGTATTTTGTTTTATCAACAATTTCACAGATCCAGAATTCATCAACAATTTTTCCATCAACCACACACAAATTGCACAACCATGTTTCGGTGAAGCTTCCATACACCAACGCACGAAGTCCCTCCGGCAACCCTCCAATCGCGGCCACCACCACTATAAGTCTCTCCTTTCTTTTTTTTCTTTTGGTTTTGATTGTGGGACATAGGTGTTAATTTTGTTACTATGAAGAAGAGAGATTTGCTTGCTGTTATTTTTTCTACAAAAGTTATGAACGAAAAAAAGGGGCACAACCACCATTGGTTAGTGCTTTGAAAACTTGATGATAGCAATAGAGATAAAGTCACGTGAAAGGTAATCCCAATTTCTTTCATTTGTTATTGCTATTTTATTTTATTTTTTTTACACAAACTCTTGTTTAAATTAGGCTATAGATAAACAATCCCTTCATATTTAATTTACTAATCATTCTATTTAGTTATTTTATTATTCTAAAAAAGGATATAAAATATTAATTTTATTAATTGCTTAATTTAGTCTATAAAAATGTCCAAACACAAAAATGGATGATTTTATTATTAGTTTTAGATTTGTTGGTAAATAATTAATGTAGTTATATAACTATTAGACTAATTAGATTTAATTGGTTATTATACTCTATTAACTTTTAATTATAATAATTCAAAAAAAATCAAACTTTTTAATTAAAATTCTACTTAATCTAAACCCCCCGTTTAATTGGGTCAAATTCAATTTCTGAACTTGGGCCCTTAATACCCCATTTATATTTAGGGCCCAGCTCAATATCTGAACTTGGGTCTTACTTGCCAGATCCTCCTATTTGACTACCTTGTTACAAAATGTATCCCTCGGACAATTTGGGTTCAAAATATCTTTGGGTCCAGATTTTCTTCTAATACATCGCTCAGTCTTAATATCCTCACTCCCCGCGTGTTTTGGATCCAATTCAATATCTGAACTAGGATCCTTCATCTTAACACCTTCAGATTAAGTTTTGCACCCCTTAACCTTAATTAATTAATTTATTATAATCCTTCTAATCTTCTTTTTTTTAATTATTATATATCGAATTTTTACACATTTGCATTAAATATAATTTTCGCATATTAATAAATAATTATTGGATATTTTTAATATTTGATATTTTTTTAATAATTGGGAAAGATAGTTAGTTATTAGCTTAAATATTTTTCTAAATTGCATTAATTATTTTTCTCGTCTAAACATATTTTTATCATATCACATTATACATCCTAAAATAGCTAACCAATCAAACACTAACAATTTTTCCACTAACATGACAAAATAAAAGATATTTTCATAAAAAGGATTAAGGAGAATTTCTTTCAAAATTAACTGCGAACTGCGTCTACAATCACTCACTTTTTAAAATCCAGACAAGGTTGAAGGATAAATTCGAAAGCAATTCTACATGATCGTATAAAAAACACCAACCAAACTACGAACTACGAATTGAGACTCTGATTCCTCATAAGAGGATACGTAGGCATACGACTAAAATCGTGGCGATCTTTGTAATTAAAACTTAAAATCTTGTTTACTCCAAACCTAAACCTAGGACCTAATATCCTTGTGAACAAGATAGATGAAAGGTGTCTAACACCTTCCTTTCGTCTAATTGAGTTCGAAACCTAGAATCTCTGTCTGCGAATTAGGGTTTTCTATTAGATTCTCTTCTCTAGGATAAAAACTAATAGTGGCGGCTCTTGATTTAAAAACCAGTTGATACACCAATAAATAAAGAACTTACATTTCCTTAGGCATCTTGTCTGAAAAATCTTTTCTCTTTCTGTTATATTCTCCTCCTTGCTTTGATTTCTAAACATTCTTCCCACCATGATTAGTTCTCCATTAGATATTTCTTCTTCCATATTTTCAAACTCATCATTAAAGTTCTCATCCTCCTATTCAACAACTACTTTATTTTCCTCAATAAGAATAGCTCTCTTTATTGGACATTGAGATGCAATGCGTACTTGGCCTTAACACTTGAAAAACTTGAAAAATGTATAATTATTTTACCTTTGTTTTTAACTGTGGTTTCCTTAGATGACGGAACACACACCTTAATAATTTTATCCTTCCAACTTTGAGAATTGAAAGTGATATTTTCTGCCTTACTAGGCCTGTCCTATTTAGTTTTTGTCATACCTTGATAGTTTGAGGCACTAAATCATCTACTTTTACATAGTTATACATCTCCACTGTCACAGTTTAGGCCAAAAATAAATCTAGCCACAGTTGTTTCATTATCTTCCTCTATATTGGCTCTTATATTTGCAATATCCGACTCTCTGTAACATTCATCAACACTTTAAAAATCTTGAGCGAACCTCTATAATTTATTATGCAAGTCCGTATAGTAAAGGAGGGCACAATCTTCTTCTTATAATTCTTTTCACTCCCTCCCTTGTGCTGATGAATGGTTCTCTATATTTGTTATTTTCTTTGACCCGATCCCACTATACATATTTTTTAAATTCAAGGACACCAACATGCAATTTTTAAACATTAGTATAAGGATTACAAACAAAAGAAAATTCAATTTTTGTTTCTCATTCTAAATAAACTTTTAGATCATTTTTCTTTAAAAGATTGAAACTTTAGTTTTTATTCAATTTATCTTTCTTCTCTAGGTCTTCCCTCTCTCGCACTTCTTAATCTTTCCTCATCCTCCGTATTATTTTGTAGATTTTTTAATTGGTCATTCCTCGTGTGTATTTTCTATATTTATTTTCTGATCATCTCTCTTATTTGAGTTGCAAGGACTTTGTACATCATTCTATTAATTTCTATTGGATAGAGATATCATCCCCACTTAAATCTCATATGATTAATCACAAAATAATAATTCTCACATATTTACATTTAAATTAATTTTTTTTAATAATACACACTCTTGTCATTTTTCTACATAATTATTATTTTTAGTTCAACTATATAAAAACTCTACATATTTGAAGTATATAAATCGAATGAGTTTAAATATATAGAATTTTTATATTGTTGATCAACCATAACTGTCAAAATAATCCGACGTTGTATTTAGCTATATAATACAACTAGTTAACCCTAGATTTCCTGCAGGCGTAAAATAAATACTCATATCTTTCCTTGCTTCCGCCGAAACGAACCGTTGTTTGCCGCAACGCACCACCATACACAAACTATCTCTTTTAAATATCCTTCATTCTCTCACACACAAACACACCTCTTCATTCTCTCTCTCTCTCTCTCTAAACTCTCACCTCATTCCCAATCTAACCATGACAATGAAGGGAAACCCTAAACCTTTATCGTCCCCATCCCCACGAAAGTACCTAAAGCCAGGAGCTCTTGCAAAACTGAGAGACTCCAACAAAATCAAATCCAATAGGAAGCTGCAAAACCGACTGAACTTATTAGATCTTGCTCAACTCTCACCAATAACACCAACTTCTTCATCACCTCCACAGAATTTCGATAACGTTGTTCCTTGCTTTGATCCAACTTTCGTTAACAGCCCTCGATGTCTCGGTAGAAAGAAACTCTTCGCTGTTACACCTATTTTTACCGAACATACAGACACATATTTGTTTTAGATCTACGTGTTATATTCACATTATCCATTTATCTCTTTTGTATTTTAAATCCATTATAAATACAGGACTTGTTGTTCTTTATTTTATATTTTTAGGGTTTTTTCCGCAAGAATAAAGTTTTACGATGTGTAAGTGTGTGTGATGAAAATCCCGATGATTGTGAATTGAGTAGAACCGTGTATGGGAAATTAATGAGTGATCAAATGATCCACAATAAATCATGTCTATGGATTTTCGATTTAATTATTTAATGCAATTAAAGGGTGTAAAGATTAATTAATGGTACTCAACAATCATGCATGGAACTTGAGTTCGTTACCTTGGATAGGATCCATTGTAAGGGGTTGATCCTCACTATTCCGATATTATAAAACACACCCCAATAGTGGTGCTCAGTGTAGGAAAAATGTGCCATCTTTCTTGTATTTTTCATTACTGCAATGGGTTGTTGCTTCATCCATTGTAAGGGGTTGATCCTCACTATTCCGATATTATAAAACACTTTATATTATCCTAAGTTATACATTTATATAGACTCTGTTATTTGGTATTCATAGCTCGGTCCAATATAGAGTCTATTATCCTAAGTTATACATTTATATAGAGTCTAATATTGAAAACACTATATCTTAAGTATCATTTTTGTTTTGATGTTTTTTATTAATTCGTTAATTGTTTAATATAAGTTGGATTGTATATTTGAAGTTTGGATACTATTTGTTTGTATATTTATACGTTTTTATTATTTCAATTTGATTGTATTTTCTTTAGTTATTAGTTATTTGTATCACTAAGAACCCTTTGCATTTCATGAAATACACTTCTTTAATTCTTGTTAGTATTCCTTTTTTGAGCCGGTGAGATTTCTCTCTTGTCATTTCTACATGCGTAATTTGAATCACAAGTCAAAGTTACCGAACTTGAAATATTTTAGCTTCGCACAAATTACTTGATTATTTTAGCTTCGCACAAATTGACTTGAATCGCAGATTTCACTTGATTTGAATCAAAAGTTCAAGAGTCTAAAATTGATTTGAATCACAGTTTTTATTTGATTTGAATCAATACTTCAAGATCCATTTTTCATATTTCATTTAAATAACTTTTTTTAATTAGAGTAAAAAGTGTGTGAAACATATATAAAACCTCGTAGAGATAAGAAGTATTTTATTTGTCTTCTCTTCTTAGTGTATTCATTATTACACCATTGATCTTTATCTTCTTCTTTCTACAAATAACTTCTTGATCATGAATTAATGTCAAATTCATTATCCTTTTTGTTGCATATTTGTTTGTGCAATCGTATTGTTGTGTAGAGTGAATTAGAGAGTGAGTTGATTTATCGTGTTGTGTTATTCATGATTAACCAATCTCAAGAATATCATCTTTGCCAAGACTCATTCATCTAGAAATTTGTTAAAACCTTGTATTGTGTTCTTCTTTCACATTCATCTATACCTTGACTAACACTTTGTGGAAGATTGGTTTGTGAGATAAGTCATCAACCTCAACCACATCCTAATCACAACATCAACCTTTTACTTACTGCGTTTCTCACAAACAACTAGCTTAGGAGTAAATCCCTTAGCCCTTACCCTAAATGTCTCAATAGTACTAGTCTCTTTTTCCAAAGATGTTAGATCATCTGAAAAGACATCTACATCTGCTTCTTTCAAAATTTTGGTCACAAACTTCCTACTTCTCTTGTCAAGGTTACTATTATCATCTTCAGACAAGCTTTCATCAACAATAATATGCCCAATAGGGTTTTTCTTCTCAGATTCTTTCTCTAAGTTAACATTGGCCCTATTTTTATCAATATCAGAAGAAAATGACTTACCAGAAGCTCTGATATCTTTTGAAGCTGATGGTCTTGCTTCCTCTTAAATAAAGGCTAGAACAATGGATAATGGAACAACATCCAAAACTAGGTTAGACAGATTAATCATTCAACTTGTATCATCAACCCTAGAATTCGATTGAGATGATCCATGGTCTTCAGACGAGGCATGCACGAAATCAGATGAATAATGTTGAGACATTGTTGATTTTTGTTGAACCAAGTTAGCAGTTGAGACAATGGAGTACAAACACATATGCAAATTTTTTTGAATAGATGCAAAAGTTTTGAGAGAGCAGTCGGTTTGGTATAAATAGTGTGTCCAAATGATTATGCCTTGGAGGAATGGGCTTAGGAAGACGTGGGAGTCATGAAATTTGAAAATTTGATTGGCCCACATAAATATCAGTAATTGCTATAATTCCCCATACTTATGCACTTTTAGTTTTTTAATGTTTGCACATTTAAAAACTAAGTCTTCCCTTTTGACTTGTTCTTTCACATCATGTGACTTGATATTTGTGAGCTTAGTCCTACTTTGTTGAATAGGATGTTCATCATCTTTTGTTACTCTCAAGTTATCATAATACAATGTCCTGACATCTTGTGTGAATTTATAAGAAAACACCATCTATTTTGACTTAATACTTCTTCGAACAACTTTCTTGACCCTTAGACATGTTACAAAGCACTTTGTTTCTTCAAGACTCCACAAATAGAAATTATCTTTTGATCTGCTTCCCTTCATGATAACCTCGTCCTTCTCATTTGTTATCAGACATTTAGAATTAGTAAAGTTAACTCTGAGACCTTGATTACATAGTTGACTTATACTTATTAGATTAACATCTAATTTTTCAACTAACAGTGCATCATCAAGACTAGGTTGTCCTACATACTCCAGCTTCCCAACACCCATTACTTTACCTTTTGATCCATCTCCATAAGTCACAGTTTTAGTGGAAGATGTTTTGATTCCCACTAAGAATTTCTTGACACTTGTCATGTATCTAGAACAACCACTATCAAAATACCACACTTCTCCAACTGATGCTTTGAGAGAGATGTGGGTTACTTCCTCATACGTTCCATTTTTAGGAATCCACCCTTTTTCTTTATTCACACTATATCTTCTTCTAGATTGTGGTGTAAATTTGGGATAGCCATATAACTTGTAGCAGTAAGGTTTTAAGTGACCAACCTCTCTGCAATAAGAACATTTCCATCTCTGATTCCTTCCTCCCTTGTACCTTGTTTGATGTCTATGTTGATGTTGGGGCATGAGATCTGACATCTTCCATTCTTGGTCCTTCTTTGAGAGTACAAACTTTACTTCAGGATTTACTTCTTTATTTTTCACACCATGACTATCATAATTATGACCTCTAACATTACTAGCATTCCTCCCAGCTTCAAGAATCTCATCCAGAGCATCAAAACCATTATTTCACATTCTTACAGATTAAGTCATATTGTCCAGTTTTGAATTTAGAAATACAACTTCCTCCTTCATATCAGAAATAATGGATAAATGTTTTACTTCCTCATCCTGTAGTTCAGCAATGACTCTCTTTTGATCTTCTCCTTGTTGACATGCTTCTTCACTTTTGATACACAAATCCATGTATGAGGCAATGAGTTCCTCAAAAGTAAGTTCTTCATCATCTGATTCTTCATCAGAATAATAAACTCTAGTCAAGGCATTCACTTGTTTGAATGATTCCTCTTCATGATTGCTTTCAGATTCTTCCTCTGACCATGACACAAATAGACCTTTCTTGTGCTTCTTGAGATAAGTGGAACACTCAGATTTTATGTGTCCAAATCCCTCACATTCATAGCACTGAACCCCTTTTCCTTGAGTTGGCTTTTCTTCAATCCTGGACTTTCCTCCATGGTCCTGATTTTTGTTGATGTCAAATGACATGTTCTTGGCATTTGACCTGGACTTCCTCAGCACTTTGTTGAATTGTCTTCCTAGTAACACAAGATCCTCATATTCTCCTTCTAAGTTCAACTCACCACTATCCTTTGAGTCTTCAATACTAGAAGCAAAGGCTATACTCTTCTTCTTTTTAGACCATTCATTGATAGCATATTCAAAGGTCTTAAGGGAGCTTACAAGTTCATCCATAATCATAATGCTTATGTTACAGGATTCTTCAATGACAATCACCCTCATGTCAAACCTTTTTGGAAGACATATGAGCATCTTCCTGATCAAATTATCCTCTAATATCTTTTATCCCAGGTCTTCTGAGTCATTAGCAATGATTAGAACAGTCATGTGAAAGTCTTGAATACTTTTATCCTCCTTCATCTTCAAGTTCTCAAATTTTGTCGAGAGAAGTTGATGTTTTGCCATCTTTACCTTAGAATTTCCTTCATGGACCTTCTTTAAGGTCTCCTAAGCAACTTTAGCATGCTTACAATTCTTTATAAGCTTGAAAACATTTTTATCAACTCCATTGAATATGGCATTCAATGCTTTAGAGTTTCTTTGGGCTGATAACTCACCAGCATCATTCCAATCTTATTCAGGCTTCAGCACATCAGTAACCTTTCCATTTGCACCTACAACCTTTGGTGGATCCCATCCTTTGACAACATTTTTCCAAGCCTTGTTGCCTAGGGATTTTATGCACATTTTTATACGAGTTTTCAAATTGTCATAGTTGGTACCATCCAAAATAGCTAATTTAACCATAATTATACTATCCTTGTCCATTGAACCAGAAATTAACTTCTCTGAATCTCAACCAGAGTCAGAGCAGGATGCTTGCTCTGATACCAATTGAAATTCTAGTTGTGAGATCTCAGATGTCCTAAGAGATGTCGAGACACCAGATCCGACTTCAACACGCAACAACATGATATATAAACAAACAAACAGTGTTGGAGGTAAATAATACACATATATATTTACCCATTTCGGAGAAACTCTCCTACTCTAGGGTTTACCAAGCCATGGACAAAATTAACTAGACAATATCAATTTATAGACCACACAACAAACATATCAGTTTACAGTATACGCACTTAATCACTACTTTTTGCTTAACTTCTACCTAAGACACACCTAGGTAAGAGGCCCTCCTCAAATCCCTTTTCAATCACACTCAGCGATTGGAGCAACTTTAAACACAATAGAGAACAAAAA